TACCTTTGAATATATTTGCCTTTTCTGTCTGCTCCCCAAGACCTTCTTTCTTTTGACCTATCTCAACAACTACCTTTTTCTCTCCAGACATATATATCTAACTTTGAATGTGCAGCTCTATCCTGTGACCCATGCAAAAAGAAATCTAGGTTATCTGTGACTCTATGAAAGAAGCTACCTTGCAAATGGGCACAAGACAGTGCTTGTGGGCCATATCTGAAAGAAGCAAAGGCATGGTACTTTTATCTTGGGGAGATGATCAGCATCTGAAGGATAATGGGATTAGCCAGGCTGAGGGCAGAAAAGCTTGGGGCTACTACCTGTATGTGCTTGGGGTCGGCATGGAGTACAGTATACCTTCATGCATCAGCTACCAGGCTAAAGTAGCTTTGTGGGGAGAGCTGAGGTGGAAACAGAGAAATCTGGGAAGTGGCAGCCATCCAGGAGATAGGTGAGATACAAGGGTGCTCTGATGTTGCTGGTCTGTGAGGCAGGGCTGCCATCTTCATGCACTGTGCTTGTGGCCTGGTTTTGCTCCTACTCTCTCCTACTCTACCATGACGAGGTGTATTGATTTCCTGTTCTGATATCCTGATGCCTGGTTCTGATGAATGAGGTGGTAGCACTCTGTCTCCCTCTTGCTCTCATGACTGCAGATGCCAGCACATGTTTCAGATACATCTTCTCCAGTTTCAAAATTTCTACCAGTATCAGAACAATTGGATGTGTTGTTGACTTTCTGTGTTGATATTTCAAGGCAGTGTCTTATGCTTAGGATGAAAAATTTTAAATATATAATACACAGGGAAGTTTTGTGGAGACTTAGTTGATACAGTTTCCAGCTTTGTTTTGTCTAGGCTTAAAATTACTGTATTTTAATTGTTTTAAGCAAAAATTGCTTTGCTCATCACTGTATTTATTTGACAGTGGCAGCTTCAGTGTGTGTGGATCAGTAGCATCACTGTCCCATAGTGTGATTTGTAAGACAAATCGTAATTATTACATTAACAGTGTGCAGTAAATGAAGTTTGAGAGGTACATAGGTGTGAGTTGTTTGCTTGCTGCTATCGAAAAAAATGTATTGTCAAAGTAATGATAGCTGCATTTGGCTTTGTAACTAGATATCCAAGGGACTGATGCTATTAACTGGATGACAAAAATGAGACTGGGGGAAAAAAGAGAGTAAGGCCATAATTAAGTAATGAGGAAATTGGTATCCAGTAAAATTAAACAGTATGCAAATGGTATTTCTTTCTGGCTTTACTAAATTATTTTAATACAGAAATAGATTGTAACTAACTTGATTAAATTTCTGTGTGTTTATGAATACAATGTTTCTAGAGATCAAAAACCAATAGAGACTGGGTTCACTAATCTCAGGAATTCCTGATACTCAATATGGTAAAGTCTGGCCCTGTCTTGCCCTAGTGTGACCAGGGACATCAATATTCCATATGAAGTGTCCTTGAAGTTTTAATAGAGGTTCATCAGGTTTTAAAATCTGATAATAGGGTGGATTTTCCTTTTTTTCTTACTTTTTGCTGAAACTTGTTGCTAACACAGACTGATGCATAGCTCTAGATACTGAAGTGACTTAAACATTCGCTGCATTTAATCTTGGGAAGAATAAGTTACCTTGTGAGGAATCCCCTTTGAACTAATTTACTCCTTGCATCATTGCTGGCAGGTAAGCATGTACTAGGAGGGGACTCTTCAGACAGAATTGTTCATGCCAAGAATCAGACTTCTTATATATGGCAGTGTTACAGACAGCTGATTTACAGATGCTTTTATATATGTGTGTGTGTGTGTGTGTGTGTGTGTGTGTGTATATAAATGGACTTTCTGCTTTCTGTAGCTAATAAAGAGTGACTGTAATCAGTCTTGTGTTCATCCTGCCTGTGACAAATTTTAGATTGCTAATGCGTACCATGCCATTTATTTCGACTGGCAATGTGATCATCAAAGTTGTGGCATGTTCAAGCTTTTAGATAGAAATACACATTTCAGCGTACAAAGAACTTTGTAAAATGTAATTTTGCTGATAATGGAAAATTGCCATCTTTTGCCCACCGTTAGCACCCTTCCTGTACCTTAATTCTCAGAAATAACAGGGTGCAATTTACTGTTTAATAGGAGAAAGGAGAGGAAACCCATAGTACTACCTAGATTCTTTTGCTCACTTGCCCAACACACCAATATGTATCACACAGTGAGATCAAATAGTCTTCAGCTTTATACAGATCATGTTCATAATTCTGTCTTCTGCACTTCATGCCTTTTATTTATCTAATTCCCCAAATATTCTGTATTCATCTCTTGAATGTTATAATCTTTATATCTTGCTTAAGTAAGCAGGCGATCCATCTCCCTCCTTACATGGGTCTTCTGAAGAATTCTGTTCAATAACACACAGCCAAGCTCTGATCAGTTAATGATGGAAGTAAGAAAGAGAGAAAACAGCTTTTGACACAGGAAGCGGAGCCATGAGGCACTGAATTGGTAGAAGATGCTAGGGCAGAGTTTTGTTAATTTGCTTAAAGGCTCAGTAAGGTGAGACATTTCCTGTTTCTAAGGGGAATAACTCATTCTCCTTAATCTGTTGAGGTTTTTGTTTTGTTTCTCCTTTTACACAGGAGGTCGTAGAATGGTTTGTGTATGTGTGTCCACATATTTGTTTAAGACAAACATTACTCTTGTCACTTCAATAGAAGATTCTGAAATGGTATAAAATGGGACTAAAATGCAAACGAGTGATTGAATTAGTCAGAAGTTACACAAGAGTGAAGTTTTACTTTGTTACGGAAAGCACTGTAACTGATGCTTTATGTATGCCGTGCTGCCATTAAGTTAAACTAGCAAAGAGAGCCTTTGTTTTGTTTTGTCAAAGGATGGCTTTATTTAGCTTTTTTGGGATCATTCAAAAGTAGAGATACTGAGCTGGAGTTTGCAGCTCTCTGTTCTTTCCTGTAGCTTTAATTCCCACAGAGCTCACTGTGCAAACTCCTAATGCCTGTCATCTAGGAAGGGCCATAAATTTACTTCTCCATGATATTTCCTAGGAATTACAGATAGTTACTATCTGTCTGTAGCTTTCTTTAAAAAGCTTTCAGAGTTGGTGTTTGTTCATGAATGCAGTAAAGTAATGCCCAGAAGAATTACACTCCTCATTTCTCTTGACCAATAGTCACTAATACGTGTGTCCTTCCAGTGCCTGCTGCACGATCCAAGTGGAGCACTGGGGAGAGCTAATATGAAATACAAATTGCAGTATCAACCTACTGAGACCATGAGTTTTCTTGTGGAAAATGAAATTTTGCAGATACTTGGCTTTATTTCCAGTGGCAGGGGTTCATACCCAAAATGATCCTGTTGCTGGGATGTTCCTTAGCTGGGCAGCTGAACCTGCCCCTGCAGCTGGGGTCTGTTAGTATGCTCACCTACCTGCCAAAGGCAACTGGTAAAATTTGAAGGTGGTTCTCTGGTTTGCCTCTCTTAAACGATGCCAGGTAAAGGTAAGAATCTGAATAGTTAAAATTTGTACACCTCTGACACTAGGGTATTTCTGTAGCTAAAAGTCATAGGCTTTTGCTGTAGCAGTAGATGTCTATTGCCCTCTTAGCAGTGAGCTCTAAAGAAACCAAACTTTTGTGTGGAATGGTTTCTTTAAGGTTTTGAAGTGTGGTTTCATCTTAAAGAAGCCATGAACCTAGACAAACTGGTGCTGAGAGAGATTACCTTCCTATTTTGCTAACAGTTATTCTCATGTATTACAACCTTAAATACAAGTCTTTGAAATCCTCTAAATAATTCTTATACAACATACACAAACAAACGAGCAAAAAAAAAAAGAAGGAGGACTTTTCCAAGGAAAATCAATTTATTCTTAAAAATATGATAGTTTCACTTCTTTGACAAATCTTTGCTAGACATTTTTTATTAGTTTTAGTTTTTACTGATGTATTTTGTGACTTTGAGGTGAAATATATAATGCTAAAATTTCAGGCATCCATTACTTCTTCTACATTTAGAAGCAAAGAACCAGCCCATGTTGTTAAGTAGTCTCTACTTATCTCTGTAACCAATCAACACAATTGGATTTTAAGCACAGTGGTCATTTTAATGAATTACTTCTCAAATGCTGTGAAATGTAGTTCCTCAATTAATGTCCTAAAAAGTTAGAAGGGTTCTCTGGCTTTGGGGGAAACTACTTAACTATAACATTCTTTGTGTTTTCAAGCAAGATAATACAGAAATTTAAAACTATTCCAACTATTAAAAATTAAGAGCTGAGTGGAATCTAACTTACCATGTGTAAATAGTTCTGCAGGAGTACCTGCCTGTGTTTTCTGAATCATAACTGGGACATATGGAGAATCTGGAAAATCTCCCAGAAAGGCATCCAGTAGAACTGCAGTATTCTGCTGAATTAAATATGAAGAAATAATAATAACAATAACAATAATAATGCATACTGCATAATATCTTGAAACTGCAGAGATTTAATTATTTAATTTATGGATTAAATAATTTTATAAGTGTTTCAGTCTAAAAATATGTGTTTCCAGTTGTCTTACGTTAAGCTAGGTTGTTTAGCAACATATCAAAACATTTCCATGAAAAGATTACTATCTTTTTTTTAATTAATCCCATAGGCAGCTTTTGCGAATGTTTTTGTACTATAAATGATTACAGTGAGGCATTAAAGCACATTCAGAGAACAAAATTCTTCCTGTGTATCCTTCTTGCCCTTCAAATTATGTTTTAATACCAACCTGATAGCAGGGTTTACAGAACTGTGTGGACTTGCTCAGGGTGCTATTACATATATTTAGTAGCAATCCCTGATGAAGTATTTCACATAGTCTTCCTTTTCCAGTAAAAAATTAAATCTCTGATTTCTTGAGTTCTGCACAATCCGTGCTTTTCTGTCTATTAAAAGTGGCCATAGGAGAGCTATAGGACAGCAATGTTAAAACCACTGTAATACTTTCTTTCAGGAATCACGGCAGAAGTCATAGTGGTAGCCTCTTTTGATGAACTGCATAAAAGAGCTCAGGAGGCCAAGGGGAAGATTGTTGTCTACAATGAACCTTTCATCAGTTATGGTGAAACTGTGCAATACAGAGTACGGGGAGCAGTGGAAGCTGCTAAAGTTGGAGCAGTGGCATCCCTCATTAGATCTATTACTTCTTTTTCTATTCACAGGTAAGCATTTTTCTCTTTTCTCCCTGTAACTCACATTTCAGCCCTTTAGTTCACGTCTTTTCTGGGCAGGCTTAAACATTGCCAGTTACGAGTGGGTGTTTGGTTTAAAACTATTGTCTGCACAATAGTTCTTTTCCCTGGTGCTTTGTCATTCTTTCAGAATGTTTTAATTTTTATGTTACTGATCCAAATTTTGTATGATATTTGTTTTAAAGAACTTCCGACATTCTTAAGGCTGCCCTAAATATTCTGACATCAACCAAAACCAAATGTCTTTCCTGACAACATGTATCAGACCGTCAGTGATCCTATGAACTGGTTATTCTGTATGACTAGAATGCAAGTGTACAGTTTTCAATGTATTGGTCATTTTCCTAGCATGAGGCTGACTTGTACTACATGAAGGAGTAGTCTGCTTTCAACATAATTATTTAAAACACTTTAGCAGTAAGGCTTGTAATTCTCACACTGCTTTTTAAGTTTTTACTTTTTTTTTTTTAAATATTTTTAGATGTCTTAGTGCATTACTTATTTATCACATATAGCATTATGTTACTGAAACAATATTTTTCTAGTTTTCTGTTTGATAACAAAGTTCTTTATTTTATCTAGAAATTTTTTCCAACTCTGAAAGCTTACACTTAAAATGCTTATCTATTGTGAAAAACATTAATTGAGGCATAAAGAGAAAATGGAGAGTAGTCCATCCATAAAGTAAAAGTCTGACAGATGCACACCATTCTTTAACATAGTATTTTTTTAAATCTTACACAGTTATTGGTGAGCTTAATGCCTGCAGTGATCTTTGTGTAGTAGCCTGTTGGCTGTGGTGAGAGTTCTGGTCAGGCAGGCCCAGACAGCAGAGCTGGACCGAGGACTGCAAACTGGACAGACCTATCTCTCTGCCCAACTTCTCGTACCTGAGCAGGATTGTAAGGGGCTTTAAGTGGTGCCAGACACAAAGCTTGACTGCCTAAACTGTAGAGCTCTGTTAATAAAACCACTTAATGTAAGACAGCATGGAAGACATGCAGTTTATACAACAGGTACTGTATTTTGTAACATCATTCTTTCTTTGACAAGTATGTGTTGAGAACAATACAGATCATTTTTTCCTCCCTCTAGTTACCTGGTAACTCTATACCCACAGAGGAGTCATTGGTAGTAGCTAATCTGACCCCAGATGTGTGCCACATTGTAACCTGGAATTGTATTCTGTTTAGATAACACCATGGTTTCTTTATGATCTCTGCTTCTGTGTTTACTTTCTGCAGAAGTCTAGGCTAGTAGTTGGAAAAGGTCATAACAGCTTTGGGTCTTTCTTGAGGCTACAACTGGGAGGTCGCTGGGGCAGGTACATGGAGACATACTTGATTCCACTATTTCACAGAGAACATGACTGGTCACATCTCAACAATATGAGAAGTGTGCAAACTTCATCATTTGAATGATTCAGAGAGTCAGAAACCATTAATGCCAACTGACTGTCTTGGAACAAATGCGGAGAACAGCTCTGCATGTGTAGAAACTGTGTAGAAACTACCAAGAAACTGTAGTTTCTTAGTAGCATTTTTGTATGCTTGACCTGTTTTCAGCTGGGATAGAGTTTGTTTACTTCTTAGTAGCTGGTGCAGTGCTGTGTTTTGGATTTTATATGAGAATAATGTTGATAACACACTAATGTTTTGGATGTTGCTAAGTAGTGCTTACCCTAAGTCAAAGACTTCCAGTGTCTCATGCTCTGCCAGTGAGAATCTGCACAAGAAGCTGGGAGGGAGCACAGCCAGAACAGCTGACCCAAACTGGCCAAAGGGGTATTCCATACCATAGGATGTTATGTTCAGTATGAAAACTGGAGGGGGTGGGTGGCTGGATGGGGCCAACCACTGCTTGGGGATGGGCTGGACATTGTTCAGCAGGTGGTGAGCAACTGCATTGTGCATCACTTGTTTTCTTGGTGTTTATTTATTTGCTGTTGTTTATCTTGTGGGGTTTTTTAATTACAATTATAATTTTTATTATAATATTTTTTTCAACTATTTAAATGTTCTTACCTCAAGCCATGACTTTTTGTTCTTCTTTTTCTGAGTCTCCTTCCCATCTCACCTCAGGGTGTAGTGAGTGAGCAGTTGCATGGTGTTTGGTTTCCAGTTGGAGTTAAACTATGAAAATGCTACATATTCCCCTAAAGAAGCCAACATTACCTGTTTAAAATGCTTTCTCAAATATAAAGCACTTGATTCAGATATTACCCAAACTATTTCTAGTGTATTTCTTGGTGACGAACAAATGTGATGTTTATGATGTATTTTCAAAAACTTAGCATTTTCTAACATAGTTCATAGTGATGAACAGATAGATAGTACAATATATTTCAAAAACAGTTTTATGAAAAATTGTATGTTTTAAAATAGTCTTATTTGGTATCATCACAGAATATTGCAATCTATAATGTGTTGATTTACTGAAAACCAGAAGATGATCTGTCCTGTCCTTAGTTACGGTGCTGTGCAGAAGGGTTCATGAGAGTAGCTCTTTGTATGTTTTGTTTGCAGAGTATCTATGGAAGTCAACTTAAAATGTAATGAAAAATTTAGAGATGAGAGATGGAGACTGAAGGTAGGCCTGTTTATTAGGAATAGGTATGGGCATTACAGCTATTTCAAAATTGAATGAAAAGAGAGGAGAAATAGATGCCAAATGCATGTTTGTTTAGAGGTATTGAATCCTTAACTGAGACTGGGAGCTGAGGTGTCATTCCCAAAACCAAATTCAAATTTAGACACTGCCAGGGAGCATTTTTTCACTAAGTGTACTTTCTGTACTCTCTTCGTTTACCTTTGGATGTGGAAGTGATTGATTTATCTATTTTTTCCTATAATATGGAAGGTATTCAGGTCCAGCCCATCACTTCTGATACTTGGTTTCGACTAGATCTTTTTGTCTTGTTTTTAACAAATAGATATTGCTGTAGGCAGGATGGATTTTCTTATCTCCACACCTTCTCCTATGTTTTCTCTTAATCACCAGCTGTGTGTCTTCCTTGTCTATCCTACCAGTGCGCTGTGCTGGATGGACTATGTGCTGGATGTGGTGCTTCTTATCAGTCTGTGTCTGGGGCACTGTTTGTTCAAGTTACTTGCCTTTTTGATTAACTGATGGGAAATACTGTGCTGCTGCATGTGTTAGAAGGGTGAGAGATGAAAGGTAAAAAATAAAAGGTTTCTAAATGTTGTGAAAGTAAATCTTGCATTCTTGCAGTTTGTATGCTGCTGCTTTGTTGACCAGAGCTGCTTTGTTGACCACAGCTTCCTTGGCCTGTGTTTACATGTTCGCCAGTAATATGAATAAATGATAATGGGATCGTGGAGTTTTCTAAAACATCTTGGAAATGTCTTAAATATCCTCCTTCTCACACAGCACTATCCTACTTTGATCGGGTAAATGAAAGCTGAAACATCACAATTTTTCCTATGCTGTATCAGCTTTGGTGGATTTTTTGGGGGAGGGTTATTTGTTTGAGGGGTTGGTTTGTTTGTTTTTCAAATATTTCAATGCCTTTTGGACAGGGGACTGCTTATTTTTATTTACTTACTCTCTTTGCTGGAACAATGTAAGCCAATCTGTGGTGTGGTTTCTAGGTGATCTTGCAATGTGAATAATACTGATCGGTTAAAACTAGGTACTTTCTAGTAGATTAACATTTTAGGCTTATTAGGGCTCATTGTTAAAGCTTACTGACAAGACATAATTGATGAAATCACAACATGAATTAAATCACTGTTCTCTTGCTGGTCCCTTGATGGCTGTTCCTTGTTTCAGAGATGGCAAGTGGCTGCCACATTTTCAAGGGCAAGAAGTGTGAAGGGAATCTTTGACCAGTGATTATGTGACAGTTTATTTTTCTTTAAGGTGTGGTAGTATAGCTATGGAGTGAGTGAAGTGCCCTGGGGGCTCAGGCAGGTAAGAAGGGATGAACTTGATTATACTCTGGAAAACTCATTGATGTGTTTGTATTAGCGTTCATGACACTCATTGGTGACAGTGAAGGACTTGAAGTATTTGCTGTTGAGTTTCAAGGAGTAGATTAATTTATTTAGGGCAGCATTGCTAAGTGATTAGGAGACAAAATTAGCAACTGCATCCTTCTTGACATGTTGGCACTAGTTACATGGTTGATATTGCCATGTTACTTGGCAGTTGTGTCTCGTGGCATTGTCTGCCTCTTGTGTTAGAGTGAAATGCTACTATATAGGTACCATGTAAGAGTGGGGGGTTTTTTACTTAGGAGAAGGTCACTGTAATTAGTACATAATTTCATCTGATTCCAATTCTTGGAAAGGTGGAAGGGACATCTTCCACTAGACCAAGCTGCCCAAAGCCACATCCACCCTGGCCTTGAACACCCCCAGGGATGGGACATACACAGCTTCTCTGGGCAATCTGTTCCAGTGCCTCACCATCCTCACAGTGAAGGGTTTGTTCCTAATGTCTGATCTAAACCTGATCTCCTTAATTTTGAAGCCATTCCCCGTTCTCCTACACTACAGGCCTTTGTAAAAAGTCTCTCTCCATCATTCTTGCAGGCTCCTTTTCCCCGTAATAATTTCTTGAAGCACTGGCAATTTGGTGGTGAAATGTTTAAACACAGATATGGAAATGTTTAAACACGGATATTAGGAGATAAGAGTAACAGAACTATTTTTAATGAACCTTCTCAAATAATATGTATTATTATAATCACTCAGCAGTATCCATGTTATTTGGCCTTCTGTAGAAATCTGAATACTTACTTTTTTTGCTTTAATAGCTTGGCTGTGCTGAGATTAATAATCTTGTAGAAGTTAAAATAATACATACATTTACTATTGTGTACAATAAACCGATGCGTGTTCCCAGTTTGTAGGGGATGTTTTTTGCAATAAAAATACTCAATTTACAAGGCATGGTTAAAAAAGTGATTGTAACAAGCTAGCCTGTTTTCTTTTGCTTCCTAGCTG